ATGATTGTAAATGTGGGACAGCTGCCAATTTTTGATCACATGAGCATGCAATAGTCACTATGCAGTGGTCACAATTTTGAGAACTGGCTACGACTAAAATTCATTCAGTACTGTCATAACTTGAAACTTGTTCTGATTAAAAGGAGGTTTTTAGATTTTTATTCAAAGTTATATGCTAGTGAAAGTATACAAGTTTTAGATATAGAAAAATACTTACAGGTAGCACATTTTCCTAGACTTTCTAATGATCAACAAGATGAAATGAATTGTTTAATTACTTCTGAGGAAATTATTTTGGCAATCAAATAATTAAAGGTTGGTAAGGCTCCTGGTACAGATGGATTAACAGCAATTTATTACAAAATGTTATCTGAAGAAATGATAGAACCATTGAAGGAACTTTTTAACAGTATTTTGCTGGGGGCAGAAGTACCTCCATCTTGGAGAAGGGCTTTCATATCGTAGATCCCAAAGGAGGATCAAGATTTGACCCAGCCTAAGAATTATAGACCTATATCTCTTTTGAATACAGATTATAAGATTTTTTCAAAAATATTGGCAAATAGATTAATGCAAGTTTTGAAGCAATTGATTCATAGTGATCAATCTGGATTTATAACTGGAAGATATATGAAATACAATGTAAGACAAATTGTTAACCTAATTGAGTATTTGGATAAGAATAATCAAATTCCTGCGGCTTTGATATTTTTGGATGCTGAAAAAGCTTTTGATCAGTTAAATTGGCAATTTTTATTGAAAGTTGTAGAGAAAATGAATTTTGGGGATAATTTTTTGTATGCTCTTAAGGCTATATACCAACAACAATCAGCACAAATTATAATTAATGGAGGATTAACACAAACATTTAAAATTGAAAAGGGTACTAGACAAGGATGTCCATTATCCCCATTGTTATTTGTTTTAACAATGGAGATTTTATTAATTAAAATTCATGAATCAACTACAATAAAGGGAATAAAAATAAAACAGAATGATTACAGGTTGAGAGCTTTTGCTGATGATTTGGTTGTGACATTAGCTCAACTGACAGATTCGGTAAGGGATTTGATGGAAATTATAACCCAGTATGGGAAAGTTTCAGGTTTTAAGGTTAATAACAATAAGACTAAAATATTACTGAAAAATTTGTCTATGAAGGAAAAGGATATGTTAGCTAAACTAATAGGTTTTGAAATAGTGAAAAAGGTTAAATACCTGGGAGTATATATTACAGCTTCTAATGTTAAATTATACAAAAATAATTATGAGACATTGTGGGTAAAAGTGCAAAAGGATTTAAATGATTGGAAAAAATTACAATTATCTTTGTTGGGGAGAATTTCAGCGGTTAAAATGAATGTTCTTCCAAAGTTTCTTTTTTTGTTCCAAATGATACCTATTTTAAAAAAAGATGCCAACTTGGAGGAATGGCAGAAGGGTATTAATAAGTTTATTTGGGTAGGGAAAAAACCAAGAGTTAAGTTTAAGATTATACAAGATACACGGGAAAGAGGAGCACTTAAGGCGCCTAATTTAAAATTGTATTATGATGCAGTGGCTTTAACTCTGATTAGCGACTGGCTTAAATTAACAAATAAAAATATACTTCTTCTTGAGGGATGGGATTTATTATATGGATGGCATGCATATTTAATTTATAATAAAAAAGTAGATCAGGTTTTTAAATCTCATATTTTAAGAAATGCTTTATTACGTGTCTGGAAGAAGTATTATTATAGGTCAAATTATAAAATTCCAATTTGGGGGATTCCTGGACACGTGATAGAGGGGGTATCTAGAGGAGTGAATTTGGATAGGATTTCTTATAAGGAATTACTTAGTTTGGAAGGGAAGGACTGGCAACTAAAATCTCTAGCCGAGTTGAAACAAGAAAATATTGTACACTCTTGGTTTCAATATAATCAATTGTTAGCTAGGTGGAATTTAGATCAAAAGATTGGTATTACTTTAGAGGATGCGAATTTGATAAAATAGTTAAAGATCAAACTCGAGTTCATATAAAGAGAATTTATAATGTCTTAATAGAATTGAATTCTGAAATGGAACTAGTTAAAGATTGTATGGTAAAATGGGCACAAAATATTCAAGAGCCGATTCTATTGGACACGTGGGAGATAATTTGGGTTAGAAATGTAAAATTTACTCAAGCTCAAAGTTTGAGAGAAAATTTTTATAAAATGTTTTATAGATAGCATTTGGATCCTCAAAAGTTGTCTTGTATGTATCCTAACTTGCAGCCCAAATGTTGAGATGTGGTAGTTTGGATGCAACTTATTTTCATATTTGGTGAACTTGTAGAAATGTAAAAGCTTTTTGGATTAAAATTTGGTGGAACATTCAGAATATTTTTAAAAGAAAGATAAAGTTTACTCCTCAACTATTTTTGTTGGGTATTATAGTAGATGTTGATGCTAAAGAAATTAATTTGATGTTGAATTTAATAACAGCAGCAAGGCTGCTGGTAGGGCAATATTGGAAGAAGGATTGTTTGCCTACTATAGAAGAATGGATGCTTAAAGTGTCAAACTTAGCAGAAATGGCTAAGATTTCTGCTTATTTGAAGGATTATTCACAAGAAAGATACATTTTGGTTTGGAGAAAATGGACAGATTATATTCAGAATAAATATGGGACTAAAAAGTTCCATTTATTTTATGAATAAATTTTAGAATATTATTATTGTTATTATTATTAATAATAATAATATTTTAGTATAGTGGAAATTTTATGTAAAAGAGAGTTAAAGCGCACTATATTTGTTTATCTATATAGTTGGTTAATGTTAGTTAGATTATGATTATTATATTTATTACCCTGTATTCAGCTCTGGGAAGTGGGGTAGGGGGATAGGGGGGTAGGGTGGGTGGGTTTGGGATATATTTTGTAATTTTTTGTAAAACTTTTCAATAAAAAAAGAAAAAATGATCGTTAAATGAGGACTTTCTTAAGTTCCCTTTCCACATATTTTTCTGGTGTTTCAAAAAAGAAAAAAAATGTCCTTAAACATTGCTATTACTGTTTCTAATAAGAACAGATGTTTTGCTGATCTTTCAAAGATGTATAGAGAGCATACCACTTTTTTCCTGAATATTTATTTTAAATTTAATCATATTTGTTTCATTCTCTCTCTCTCTCTCTCTCTCTCTCTCTCTCTCTCTCTCTCTCTCTCTCTCTCTCTCTCTCTCTCCCTCCCTCCCTCCCTCCTTCCCTCCCTCTACACAGACACACACATATCTTTCCAGTTAGCATTCACAAAATATATTATCATTTATGATAATTACTTTTTCTGAATCCTAACAACTTAATGCAAAATACATTTGTTTGATAATCTAAAAAACAAGGTTCACTCAACTGAACTGATACCATCTTAATGTTAAATTCATCAGAAAAATGTAAAAATATGTAAAATTTCCATTTCCAAATTAGTTGTATGTTGCTCACATATTAACACCATAAGCATATTTATTTATATATTTATTGGCAAAATTTCTACCAAAGATTGTGCGGATAGGTAAGCTCCCCCATTCACTCTCTCTCAGATCAACCCACCTCACAGGGTTGGGGCGGAAATAGCAGGAGGAAGAAGTATTGTATATGTTTGCTGCCTTGAGTTATTTACAAAGTAACAAAGATGGGATAAAAATCAAATAAATAAATAAAATATTAAAAATTATAGGAGAATATCAAAGAAATATCTGAGTCTTTCCCCAAAGCAGAGGTACCAGATAAAACTCTTCTCTCTTCCTCTCCCCCTGATTTCCAACTGGAACTGATTGTTCAGGAACTCTCATCCTACTTCAATGCTTTAGAGATAGGCCAGAAGGATAACAAGGTTGACAGTATCAAAAACTGCTTAGCACTCAATGAGGAACAGAGGATAATTTCCCCTAAACTTGGTTTTTCTGGAGGTTATCCCCAAGTGAAACCAATACCTTTTCCAAGCTGCTTTCTGTCCTGAATTGTGACTTATAAAGGTTCAGATAACCCACTTACTCTGAAATCCATTGCAACTACGTGCCCACCACTTTCCCTGCAACATTTCTGTGAAAAGGAAGATTGTTCAAGTCACTTGCTTGAGCAAATTGGATGCATTATCTCCTTCCTCAGAGATAGAAGAAATACACTTTCATTTTTTAAAAAAAGCATTGATTACTGCTCAAACTCAAGCTGCTGAATCATTAACAAATCATGAGAGGCAGGGATCCAACTGAGAATTATCACCCAGAGGACCTTATTCATTTCAAAGACTTAAAATATTCCAGATCACTTTACAAGATGTTCCATTCACTGCCCAGCCGGTGTAAAGCTTATGTTGGATTTGAAAAGTTTTGTCTATCAAATGCTGTGAAAATTCTTCAGAACCGTTTTGCAGTATTTTTGACAAATATCGTTTCCTTAAATTGACACAATAACAGCAGCAAAATATTCCTTGTCTGCAACACAAATCACCACTGTGTAGGTTGAAGATTGAACTTTTAAAAAGTCCATTTCAGACCTACCCAATCTATGCCTAGTCTTTCATTCCACTAAACAAAAGTCTAAATTGAACTATCCTCCAGATTCTCAGAAAATTCCCAAAGAGACCTCTGAAAACAAACTGTATCTATGTAGCATTTGAAATGGACTGATATATGTCCTTCCCTTACTGCAAAGAAGGACTTACACTGCAGAATTTCATAACAATCAGAAAGTGATCTATACATAACATGGAGCAAAGATCAGTGTTTCCCAATTTCAAATCAGTTGCATCTTCCCTGAGACAAAAGACAAATGCAGTGTCCATGTTCATGGTTGATATAGCACTCATGAACAACTGGTATCCTCCAAATCCTTTGTTGATGGAAAATATACTGAATCCTGAAATATTATTAAGTTCAGGAAACTTTTCTACCACCTCAGCAATCAGGTTAAGCAGCCCAGGAAAAGGCATAGCTTTTGTAAGGAACAGCCAGCAAATACAAAAAGGGTATCCATACCACATCTGAAGTATCCTTGCCTGTTTTGAATACTGCATACACCTTAAACAAAAATTGTGGAAGTTATTTAACAAGAAAAGATGAAACTTTGTTTGGCTTCTTTTAAATCAAATTAATAATTTAAAAAATTGACCAAAGTAGGTTTGGACCAATAGAACAGTTGCTTATGAAAAAGAGATAACAAATTTCTTATAATGCAAGAGGATCTGAGTTTCTTTGGATTCTTAATAAGAGTTTCCATTGGCAAAATTCATTCATAATTATAGAAAACTTGTGTCATAATATTATAGTATTCATTCAATTACATAAATAGGCATGTTTGGGCTATCAATGTGACTTAAACCTAGAACTCTTTCATATTTCAAAATATGACTTTGTACAAATTATATTTCATTCATTCAGTCTATTCCCTAAGAACATTAACTTTTCTATGGGACTATCTGAAACTATCTTGAAATATTTTTCAAATGACTTCTGTTTCCAACCCTGCTTCAAAATATGTACAGAAGATTTTTTAACAATCACTTATCCCAACATATATCTATGACTGGAATTAGACATCATTGTTCCATGAGAAAGGGCAGATCCCATATATCACAGGCTGCAGCTGCCCAGATTCATTATGAATAAATTTAATAAAATAAAAATAAAAACTTGCCAATAAAGAAATGTTAAAATTAAAATGATGAAAGCAATAATAGTAAACATTGTAGGAGTTTAAACCTTAAAGTTAAAATTCATTTATTAAGTTTTATCTACTCTAATAAGAACCAGATTTTATTACAATTTATAGATTCCACAACATCCACGATAGAAATTAGATTAATATTACATTAAGAAGAGAAACCAGAATAAATACATCAAAGAAATATTTTTAATTAGCTGATGTTGCTGATTTAAAAATCCAGATTGGCTATATTTTATATAGCGCTATGCTTTCTATAGTTCAAATAAATTCAAATAAAAGGTTAATGCTGCTTCAATGCCTTACCAGTATTATATGACCAGTGGAGATGTCCATGTTAAACTGGACTGGTTCTTCACACCAGGATGAAATACTGCTTCGAGTAGAAGGACTTGGAATAGGTCCATCACTAAACTGTGAAGATATGCTATTAATACGAGAAGCATGAAGAGGCTCTGAACAATCTGATGTTTTCACCGCCATACGCTGACGGCATAATTCCTGAGAAACAGAAAGTAACACAGGATTAAAATTTAGCACTGAAGGAATCAACTGTGAAAACATAAAATGAACTTTTGCTCTAAACTAAATACATGCAAAATTATGTTCTGAAGATGGAATGTACAACTCTGCTCCAAACAGTCGAAAAACACGAAATTTCCATGTATCTGTAAGCAGGACTGCAACCAGTATTATAGCCACATTTCCATGGTTAATAATTGTCATTTTTTTAAAAAAATATAAGATTTGAAAAATATACAGATCAAAGGCTGAAATATGACCATTCAACAATAATTTCAACAGAAAAACTCTGAAATAAATTGTTACGGAGACAATATCCACTGTATTCTTCAAAATAAATTTAACACATTATCTGCTCCCTTTCAATTTAACATGATCCACTATGAGTTGGGAAAGTCAAATAATTTATTTAATGCTACTTTAAATCCTAACAATTATATTACAGAATACAAATTTTGTGCATACGAAGAATTAGGAAACATAATTGATTTTACCAAGAACTTATACTAATGATAGACTGCATTTACTAAAGTTAAAATCAGCAGAATCTATAGAGTCACAAATACAGATTCTGATTAACTTTGATTCATGAAAATAATTAGAACTATTATATTACATTTTAAAATTTACCCAAACAAATGGTACTTAGACCTAATAAACCACAGATATATCTAGCATAAGAAAATTGCTGCAAGAAACAAATTAAGAAAAGTACTTTATCATTTCCAGAATAAAATTTCTACTAGGTAAATAATATTTGAAAAAAATTAATCAGTGTTTCAATGGATGATCTTAAATTATCTAAACACAGATGAAGTGGAAAAATATATTATTGTCACTGTTTTTAAATTTTCCCACCTTAACTTTTCAATATGTGACGAAATACAAATTTCTTGGTTTTTATGAGTCCAAATAAGAAATGAAAGAGCATTTTACAATATTTAGAATCATATTTTATTTTTAACTATTCATATAGTCATTTATTTTATATCTCACCACACATATATATGACTTTCAATCACTCTTTATACATCTCTCTTATTTTTCTTCCCATCTATTCCCCGTCAAAATAGAAACCTATTTTGTATTTTGACTAGATAGAATTTTAACACTTATATGGCTTTATCAAGTATATTTGGATTGCAAAACTTACAATTCTTTACAGGAGTAACATTATCTTTCCCTTTCTATTAAATTACAGTATATTGTATCAGTGTGTAATGTATATCCATTAGTATTGTATATGTATATGATATTCTGATAAAAATGGTTATAATGGTAGATTTCTAGCTAGCACTTAATCAGCTCATTAGAAACAATTCTATTTTTTGTGCATAAAATATGTTAGCTCCACAAAAAGAGCTTAATACTAAATTTACTGTCAGTATTTTTTTAAAACAAAATCAGTGTGTCAGATTTTGAGTTCAAATCTTCATACAGTCATGGAACCCATTAAGTAACTTTATACCAATCATCTTCCCTGACCTTAATCTATCTCATAAGGATATTTCTAGAAGGACTAAATGAGGAATGTAGAGTACTGAGGAGCGAAATGTAGCCCCATTCATTGCATTATATTCCTAAAGTGAAAGACAGAATACAAAAGGAATAAATACCAATAGCATAGACATTGCAAAGATAGGCAAGATGCTTTAGTGAGAGAATACAGAAAAATTATAAACAACTCACTCCTATCAGTGCATACTGACCTTCCTCATTTATCAGCTGGAAGACTCAAATCCAGGAAGCCCCCCCTGGCACTTGCACAACATCTGCACAACAACTTTAATACTGATTCCCAATGGAAAAGCCAAATGGGTTGCTGAATGCCAAGACAAAGGTAGACATATAAATGACCCTAAAAAAAAAGTCCCAGGCTTTGAACTGCCATGTCAGCAGTGGAAAATCCTGAATAGGATTCACACATCAGGTGGTGTTTGCTGGGACTCTACGTATAAATGGGGCACATAGTATCCTCCCCTCACTGGGACTGACTGCAGATTATATCGTGGACCAGCAGTAAACTGAGGGCATATACCAGTCCAGGATCTGATTTTTTAAAATAGAAATAATGCTGCACTTCAGTGGTTAGATGGCCTAGACATTGGTATTTGAACATAGAACTTTTTAACATTTATATTTTATTGGGGTTTACTAATTTAGGTGAAATGTTAATATATATTGCCAGTCTATGTAATATGCTGTACACTAAATAAACAATAAACAAAAGAGTGCCTATTTACCACAAAGAGCATCATCTAAAAACAAACATCTGCCTCCAATGGAATGTTTCTTCTGACATCCCCAGATTGCTGGCATTTTGTAGGATCTTGAAGTCCTGGCTATTTGCCCAGGCCTTTAACAAGGGTACTATAATAGCTACTGGGTATTATAGATTTACTTCTTGTTGTTGCCAAATGTTTGCCATCTTTCGTTCCTTGTATTTATTATTATTTTTTTCTGTTTTTTACTTCTGATTTTTACTGTAGCTGGGAGTCAAGTTGTATTTCTTCAATCAATCTATCTTGGGAAATCTTACATTTTATAGAAGTACAAAAAATATTTAGGGCAAAAGCTTGAAACATTTGAACAATAAAAACCAAGCTCTTACAACAGAGAAACAAGTAATTTGAAAAAAACTCTTTTGAACATATTTTATAATATCAATAGCCTTATACTGAGAGATATTTTACTACCTCTAAAATATATTTATTTATTAAATTGTATGATGCTCATCTCAATGAAAGTGACTCTAAGTGGCTTACAGACATATAATTAAAATACATTGTAAAAATGTCAAGACTTTCTCTTTCAACTCCATTCCGGATTCTTCCCTAAGTCTTTGCCATCCTCCCAAAGGCAGTGGGTAGGCAACCAGGGCTCAGGACCCCATAGAAAAAGGCTCTAGGAGAGCTGGTTTAATGTCAAGATTCCAATCAATAAGACCAAATAAATCAGAACTCTGAAGCAGGAAAGAACATGTTTATCCTCAAAGAACATGTTTATTGGATAAATAATATTGGCACGTTCAAAAGTGAAACCAGATCTAAACATTCCCTCTAAGAATCAAAGTAATACAATGTAACAATTCCCACCTCTCTATTCATGCTACCAACAGAACTCCTTGGCAGACTTTCTGACTCAACGATCCTCCTGTCAACTCTACAATAAACATGGCTGAAGCTATCTTACTTGTTTTTGGTTGCCATAAGATTGGGGGGAGGAATGGGAAGTTTTATGCTAGCCTAAATTCTCTGTCCCGTGGGAACCAAGGTCATTTCTGTTCCCTTGGTTGTGGGGATTGAAGCTAATGTTAGAAAGCCCACCAAACTATTTTATTGAGAAATGTAGTTGATTGCATAGGCTACAGGATGGGAAATTTAACTTAAAGTTAAGTTAAATACTGTTATTTTTTGAAGGGAACTTTAGTCTTGGTTTCACTTTTGACTATGCCAATACTTTGTAATCAATAAACCTTAGAGTAAAACTCAAGTCTCGGAGTTCTGCTTTAATTGGTCTGATCTAGTGGAACCATAATACCTTCTCCCTCTCTCCATACTTCTACATTTCTTTTAGTTCAGAGAATCATCGGATTGAAGAGAGAAATCTTGAACACAATGGGCTGAAATTAGACTGAGTACACCAACTAAATCAATGACCTTTAATCATTATTAACTAATGTTCCACTTATTTCAGAGAGGTCTACTCTAAGGATAAATCTGGATTCAGTATATAGTAATAGTAGTAAAGTTGGAAGGGACCTTGGAGGTCATCTAGTCCAACCCCCTGCTCGGGCAGGAAACCCTACACCATTTCGGACAAATGGCTGTCCAGTCTCTTCTTAAAAACTTCCAGTGTTGGAGCATTTACTGCTTCTGGAGGCAAGCTGTTCCACTGATTAATTGTTCTCACTGTCAGGAAGTTTGTCCTTAGTTCTAGGTTGCTTCTCTCCTTGATTAGTTTCCACCCGTTGCTTCTTGTCCTGCCTTCAGGTGCTTTGGAAAATAGCTTAATTCCCTCTTCTTTATGGCAGCCCCTGAGATATTGGAATACTGCTATCATGTCCCCCCTTGTCCTTCTCTTCGTTAAACTAGACATACCCAATTCTCGCAACCGTTCCTTATATGTTTAGCCTCCAGTCCCCTAATCATCTTTGTTGCTCTTCTCTGTACTCTTTCTAGAGTCTCAACATCTTTTTTTACATCGTGGTGACCAAAACTGGATGCAGTATTCCAAGTGTGGCCTTACCAAGGCATTGAAGAGTGGTATTAATACTTCACGTGATCTTGATTCTATCCCTCTGTTAATGCAGCCTAGCACTGGGTTGGCCTTTTTGGCAGCTGCAGCACACTGCTGGCTCATATTTAGGTGATTGTCTACTAGGACTCCGAGGTCCCTCTCACAGTTACTACTATTGAGCATGGTGCCACCTATGCTGTACTTGTGCATTTGGTTTTTCTTGTCTAAATGTAGAACCTTGCTTTTTTCACCATTGAATTTCATTTTGTTAGTTAGTGCCCAGTGTTCAGGTCTGTCCAGATCCTTCTGTATCTCAAGCCTGTCTTCTGGAGTATTGGCTATTCCTGCCAGCTTGGTGTCATCTGCAAATTTGATGAGTTCCCCATCTATCCCTTCATCCAAATCGTTGATGAAGATGTTGAATAGCACTGGGCCCAGAACAGAGCCCTGGGGCACCCCACTACACACTTCCCTCCATATAGATGCAATTCCATTGAGGACCAGTCGCTGAGTACGATATTATCAACAGCCTTCTTGATACTAGTAGACCTACATCTGTAAGCTTGCACATAACACTATCTCTTAACTTTTTAATTAAAAAAACCAAATATCATAATTCCTTTTATAGATGAAACTAAAAATATGGGATAGGGGACAAAAGCAAACTGCAGCATTTTGAGTAATCATACAGAACGAGATGTCTTGGATCAATAGATCCCAAATTCCCTATTATATACATA